TTAGTTCGTTTGTAAGATCTTAAGATAGATTGATCTGTATAGTATTTACCCCCCCCCCCCCCCCAAAAGCGGAAGCCCCTTGTATTGTTCTGTCATATTGTCATTATACTTTAGGGATCTGAGTTATATGTGACATTATAGTACAGCTAGAAAATAACAGTGTTGTGTAGTAGAATATCTGTTTCAACTGTTTCTAGCAATTTAATTAAAACATTGGCTTCTCCTGAGACCTTTTGCTCTTGGCAATATTGGAAACTTTGCTTTGAATGTGTGTTGGGAATATGAAGGTTATTGGTGCATGTCATGTTCCCTTCTGGTCATGCAGAGGGAGGATTGCTGTTGCCTTCCTCTGAATATAGTCTGCAGCACCTGGCATTCCTTGTCAGTCTCCATAACCAGCCAGATCCTGCTTAGCTTCTCAGATCAGACAGGATTAGTGGGGGAAATGGCAAGTGTGACAATTCTGCAGTGCTGCTCATTCTTTTGCAGGTATAAAACATTGGCGTGGCTATTGGAAAGTAGAAAGCAACCTCAAAGAAACCTGGTCATATTAACAGCACATTCAATTTCATGATGATCATGTAATATATATATATAGTTGGGTCATACAGCTTGTATGGATCATGAGATCTGTCTTATGTATAGATTAGAAAAATCATGGATAGCATTCTCAAGATAATGGCATATTTTCCCCAACTACTGCAAGCCCTTGAATAATTGTTTTGGGTTTTTTTTGGAATTTCCAAGACATTTGAAACATAATACAGTTGTTTTATCACATCTTATATTCCAAGATCTATATTCCCAACCTATGTAAGTAATGGGAGCATTACTTACGTAGCATTATAAAAATACAGCACTGTCAAACCTATCATTTCTACATTATTCCAATTTTATCCGTTACATATAGTTATTGTAATGTGTTCATTCATTGCTCAGCCACAATCTTTCTTGGATGTTTGGGGATTTAAATTCACCATTGCTTTTACACGTGAAGTTACTAAATGGCTTCCTAGTTTAATCAAATAGATCTTCTTTCAACTCTTCTTTTGCTAATCTTAATTTATAGGTTAGCTTTTCCAATAGTTTCAATTCTTCTTTTACTAATTTTAACTTTTCCAATAGAGCTAGTATCGATGTCCTGTTTAACCAACTCTTTATTGTCAGATTCTCTAACTTTTTCCAGGATTTCACTGGAATTTTTCCAAACTGTATTGAAGTTTGCCTGTTTGAAAGGGTACCTGGATTTAATCAGGGCCACTTGCATTTACAGTTGTCCCTCGACATTTCATAAAATCACAGAGTTGGAAGAGACCACGTGGGCCATCCAGTCCAACCCCCTGCCAAGAACCAGGAAAATCACATTCAAAGCACCCCTAACAGGTGGCCATCCAGCCTCTGTTTAAAAGTCTCCAAAGAAGGAGCTTCCACCACACTCTGGGGCAGAGAGTTCATCTGCTGAAGTTCTTCCTAATGTTCAGGTGGAATCTGAATTCCTGCAATTTGAAACCATTGTTCCACGTCCTAGTCTCCAGGGCAGTAGAAAACAAGCTTGCTTCTTCCTTCCTATCAATTCTCACATATTTATACATGGCCATCATGTCTCCTCTCAGCCTTCTCATCTGCAAGCTAAACATGTCCAGTTCTTTAAGCCGCTCCTCATAGGGCTTGTTCTCCAGACCTCTGATCATTTTAGTCACCCTCCTCTGGACACATTCCAGCTTGTCAACATCTCCCTTCAATTGTGGTGCCCAGAATTGGACACAGTATTTCAGGTGTGGTTAGACCAAGGCCGAATAGAAGGGTGGCATGACTTCCCTGGATCTAGACACTATGCTCCTGTTTATGCAGGCCAAAATCCCATTGGCTTTTTTAGCTGCCGCATCACATTGTTGGCTCATGTTTAACTTGTTGTCCACAAAGACTCCAATATCTTTTTCACACGTACTGCTGTCGAGCCATGTGTCCCCCATTCTGTATCTTTGCATTTCAATTTTTTCTGCCTAAGAACAAATGCTGTTTTGACTTTTGCAGATTTGATTATTCACAGTTTTGATTTAAAAAAAATCTCTAGGTACTGCAGTGTGACTCTAGTTATACTGAGTGACCTGTAGAGTTTAGAAAGAGCACTTTTCTAGGAATCTCTAGGTCTGCTAAGCTGATTCTTCTAATGGAAATTGACCATAGAATTGTGCTGGAAGATGTAGACATTTCTTAAAAAGTTATCTCTAAGGTAAAAAAAATCTATATCACATTTTGTCACTTTCACAGCGGGCCTGTGCCTCTTACCCAGCCAATGTGAAGGGCTGATTGCAGAGTAAAATATCTTACATAGTCATTGCCATAAAAATGCAATTTCTTGTTTCTGATCCCAAATGGATGTAGAAGACAATGTGTGATATCCTCAGAGGGGAAAAGATAGTTTTGTTAAGTCATCCTAATGATTTGACAGATCAAGAGTTAAATCCAATGACTAGTTATAACTGGATTGAGTGTTAACTTTTTCTAGTTGACTCTTTTAAATAAATTGGTGATATAACAAGCACAGTCCCATTCTAAAGTCATGCCAAGTATGAGGAATTGATGCTTTATGTGATGAATATTATAGTTATTTTCTAGTTTTATTCTAGAAATATTATTAATATGTCTTTGATAATAGGTTGCTTCCTATGTAGGTGTGTAATTACATGTTCTGGCAAGCTGATTTTTGTCTGTCTTCCTCCACAGTTTTTCTATGCTATCTCGAGCAGCAAATCTTCCAACGTTATAGTTTTGTTGCTGGCACAGATCATGGTGAGTATTTCGGGGAACTTTGAAGGAGAAAAGCTACTTCTTGTCCTCTCCAATCTGTTTATTCAGCGGGGGAAACAGGGCACCTGATGGTTCTTTTCTCTTCCTTGCAGGGGATGTATTTTGTGTCTTCGGTGCTACTTATTCGGATGAGCATGCCCTTGGAGTATCGCACCATCATTACCGAAGTCCTAGGGGAATTGCAGTTCAACTTCTACCACCGCTGGTTTGATGTGATATTCCTTGTCAGCGCTCTCTCCAGTATCCTCTTCCTATATCTCGCACATAAGCAGGCTCCTGAAAAACATATGGCACCCTGACTGCTTCTTAATCCTTCGTTGCATGGTGGGTGAGGACGATGTGTTGGCATACTGCCGTCTTATAGTGGCTGCTCCTACGATGGATAATCGGCTCCTTGGTTCAGATCAAATGATTAGCTGCGGGCAAAGAGGGGCAAGAGGTGGCCTGCGAGATGCAGCTCTCGGAAGACAAGTATGTCCTTGGGGAAATAAATCACAAGAGGAAAAGAAAGAAGAGCTCTCAGGAAGCAGGAGTGGGAGAAACTGCTCTGTAGTGTTTGGAAAATGAGACTGGCAATATTGTCTTAATCTGGAAAGTGGTGATTCTGGAACCAAATTTCTAAATAAATCGGATTTTGTAATAATTTGTGGTATTTATCAATCCTAAACTTTTTGCTTTTGATAGCTTAAAGGGGGGCCAAGAGTGCAGAATTATATGGGCATTTCTAACATTGTCCTGAGAAGCTTGTGACCCAACTGAATACTGTCTACTTTCATTTTTTACCTTATATTACGGTTACAGATTCACATCAATGGTCTAATATTGTTAGGCCATAATATGGGTAGCAGGAATACAGTACAGTCAACTCCCTGCATACCTGGGATTCTGCATCCCCAGATTCAACCACCCATGTCTTCAAAATATTTGTAAAAAATTCAAAAACCAAAGTTCGATTTTGCTCTTATATATAAGGGCCCCCTGGTGGTGCAGCAAGTTAAACTGCTGAACTTGCTGACCGAAAGGTTGGCAGTTCAAATCCGGGGAGCAGGGTGAGCTCCTGCTGTTAGGCTCAGCTTCTGCCAACCTAGCAGTTTGAAAACATGCAAATGTGACTAGATCAATAGGTATCGCTTATGCAGGAAGGTAACGGCACTCCCTGCAGTCATATGACCATGATCTTGGAGGTGTCTATGGACAATGCCGGCTCTTCGGCTTAGAAATGGAGATGAGCACCACCCCCCAGAGTTGGACATGATTAGATTTAATGTCAGGGGAAACCTGGACACAATTTTACTGCAGATGTGTGTGTGTGTATGTAAAGGAATTTGAGGATCCACAGATTTTGATATCTATGAGGGTCTTGGAGCCAATCTCAGTGGATACCAATGGCCCGTGTTATTATGAAATGCATTTCAGCCCTTTTATTGCTTCATTGCAACCATTTATTGTAAATAATACCCGCACCTTGTAGAATTTCAGTAGCAAAGATCTATGTATTATAATAATCTGCTATTGCTGGTGGAATACAGCAGGGTGTCATTGCTGGTCTTTGAATACCTTCCCTAGACAGAGTGGTGTACCTGCGAATAATATGGGGACAACTCCCAGTAGCAGCTGATAATAAAGTCATGGAAAGGGATGCCCTCTTTTTTTTTTAATAGCAGTAACTATATTATTTAAATGTTGCTTTCACACACAAGCCATCCATGTAGCACTATCTGTTCTATGTGACATTTGTGTTTGATGGGGGCAGTGCAAGAGTTAGTACTGATTGACTTCACTAGTAATTGGATTGTAAAGCCAAGGGAATCCCTGCACTGAGTTGCGATTGGAAGCTCAGGAACATCTTCTGTCTGGTCTGCTGAGCAGATAAACAGAAAGAGGAAAGGAGATTTAGCTGAGAAAGAAGGGGTGGAAAACTTCACAATGCAATAATTAGCTTATAGGTGTGAGACATAAAGAGAAAAGTCACTTCAATCCTGGTTGCCTGAAGCCTTTTGTGGGGAGGACTGTTTGTTGGGCTCCAACCTTCTAGGGATCACATGTGATCAGCAATCCTGTGTCTTCTCTAGTTTTTTTAAAGATGTGTGATTTTTTTTGAACGTGCCAAAGATAGAGGGAGAACTTAATTGTTACATTGCACAAACAAAATATTGTTCAAAGCACCTGTATATCTGGAGCACTTCAGATGCACACAAGAATGAAATTTTATTTTCAAGCTCGCAATAAAAGAAGTTTTCAAAATAATTGGTACTGGAAATAATAAATCCATGTTGGCGAGACACATGTGGCAGCTTCTTCCAAGTGGTTAAAATATTGGACAGCAAAGTCTAAAGTTAATTCATTCTAAAAGGTCTATCCATCAGAGCTTCTTATCTGAAAATGGTAAACAGAATATAGTGTGATAGATTTTAATAAAATTATCTGCTACTTTCATTGGGAGATGATCACTGGCTTGTATCGTATGTGGACAGTAGCTCTAGCCAAAACAATTTTATTAAACAAATGCAATCTCCTCTTATTCTGAAATGGTTAAAACAATTATGTACCATCCCAGTCTTACACACGTTTTGTCTCAGAAGTAGTTTCCCCAGTGTTCAGTGGGACTTTGCTTCAAATAAGCATCTACCAATAATAGTAGTAGGAAGTTCTTTGCTTCAGAATAGGAGTCATACAGCATTGCCTTTCAAGTACAAATGTGGGAAGGTAAAGTGATTTTTGATATCACAGTTTGGTATCTTCACTTCCATTATCTGAATCTGAAGAAGAGGATATGCTGGCCTAGAGGAGAAAAGCAATAGGTGTTATTATGCCAAATCAGTAGTCTCATGAAGCCTTCTTTATTGTTCAATGGATGATTCTGCAGTTTCAGAAGAATGACAATAATGGAGTATTTTTAGAGGTTAATCTGGAGATGTAGTCATGGTATAGGTTAAGGGCTGTTCACACAATGCCAAAGTTGCTTTCTCGGCTCAATATTCTTATGATTTTGAAAAGGAAGGCACTCAAAAGACAATTGCAGGATAAAATCTGTAACCCTGGGATGCTTGTGTTCCTGACAGATTCTCATTTTTTTTCTCCATCTTTACAGTTTAAAGCAGTGGTTCTCAAACACTTAACTCTGTGACTCCCTTTATATCAGTGGTTCCTAACCTTTTTTTGACCAGGGATCACTTTGACAAGGGACCACTCTCCAACATCAGTATTAAAAGGATTACGAATCAGTTTTTCGTCAGCTTTGGATGCAGTTTGGTTATTTGGGGTGCTGATTCAGAAAACTGCATTTGATAGTCCACATCAGCTCTAGTTTCTGATGCAGAACATATGCCATCTAGTAGTCGCCATCTGCTCGTCCACAGAAAACCATATGTAATAATCTAGAGCTGATGTGGTCTACCCAATGCAATTTTCAGAATCGGTACTCCAAATAACATGGACCACAGGTTGGGAACCACTGCTGTATATCTACATGATGTGAATGCCATTCCTCTCCCCCCCCCCCCCCCCCCCCCCCCCCGGTGCAAGATAGTTATGCACAGTATAATACTTCATTTAGTGTATGTACATTTATGCATATCCCTATTTCAACATTTTATAAGGAATTTGCATTGTTCAAATTCAAATAGTTATTTAGTTTTACCCAACAAGTGAGTTTGTTGGGTAAAAGCTACTTTCATGAAGAGATAAATAATTAGTAATTTAATGTCTGAAAAAATTACTGTGTCTCCTTTGAGCAACTACCATTCATGGGAGTTAGTCACTTACTGGTTTCAGTGACAGTGTGTCAGGCTATGGAGTATGTGTACTCTTTAACATTCTATATACAAATATATTTGGGTGTATATTTTTACATGTATTGATCATTGGTAAATATGTTTATCAAATGGAATAAGTATGTATTTCCACAATTCTATCCTTATTGTTCTTTCGCGTGTAGTTTGATGTTTCCTGTTTACATCCCGGTGGCGCAGTGGGTAAAAGCCCTGTGCCGGCAGGACTAAAGACCAACTGGTCGCATGTTCGAATCCGGGGAGAGGCAGATGAGCTCCCTCTATCAGTTCCAGCTCCTCAGGCGGGGACATGAGAGAAGCCTCCCACAAGGATGATAAAAACATCAAATCATCCAGGCGTCCCCTGGGAAACGTCCTTGCAGATGGCCAATTCTCTCACACCAGGAGTCACTCCTGACATGACAAAAAAAAAAAAAAAAAAAACACCACTGAAGGGTTTTCTCACTCCTCCAAATGGCTTGGGCAAAGCTGAATGGGCACTCACAGTATTGTTACAATGAGATAACTTGATCACTTACTTGCAATTTAATCATATTTATATGGAGGTTAGATAGTTACTATTAATTTGAATGATTTTCTGTCCAAATATGTATCCTCAAAATTCAGGAGACTCCATCCTCATTCATTTCTCTCAATTTTTATAAGCAAAGTAACTCACTTTTTCTTGTTCTGTCTGTGAGGGTTGTATCTCTGCATAAGCAGGTGGTTCGTTATCGTCGTCATCTAATGGATCTGCCATCGAGGCAGTAATAGGCATTTTCCGAGACTGGAAATATTGATAAGCTTCCTCTCCACACACTAGTAGTGCCAGCCTGTTGCCACTTTCATGGATTTTTGCCACTACGACATCATAGTCCTCATTCTCCACATTGATACCATTCACCTCTATCAAGATGTCATCAACTTGCAGTCCTGCTAAGTCTGCTGGCCCATCATTATGTACCTGTCGTTATGTTAGAAGTAGACATTTTGCTGGTGAGTCTGGGCAACAGCACAAGGTGACGATGTTGACTCGGTTTATGTTTCACTAGACCAGGGTTACTCAAGCTGTGATCCTCCAGATGTTTTGGACTGTAGCTCCCACAATTCTTAACAGCTGGTAAGATGGCTGGGATTTCTGGGAGCTGAAGTCCAAAACACCTGGTGGAGCATAGTTTGAGAAACACTGCACTAGACTATTGAACATGTATTCATACTAGGAAGCTTGCATGCCCATAACTTTTACAAATAACAATATACAATTATTAAAAGAGTACTATAACTTCTAAGTTACCAACATGTACATTGCTGAAATAAAAGGGAAATAAAAGGGAAAATGTGATTAATTTTGTAGAAGTGGCTATTGAAGGGCTTTTTTAAGACACAATTGCCACATTTGAACAGTAGCATAATTGTGTTGTCGAAGGCTTTCATGGCCGGAATCATTGGGTTGCTGTGAGGTTTCCATGCTGTATGGCCATGTTCCAGAAGCATTCTCTCCTGATGTTTTGCCCACATCTATGGCAGGCAGCCTCAGAGGTTGAAACAAGCTGGGCCAGCTAACACATCCCAACAAAGGATTCCTCCAGGCAGGAATCAGCCAGTCTTTGAAGCAGCAAGGCCATTCAGTGCTCATCAAAGTGGCCAATTGCAACATTCACAATTGCCTCCAACAGACCAGCGTTCTTTCTCCTACCCTGGACATTCCACAGATGTATAGACCACACTTGCCTAGTTTCCAGCACACCTCTGGAATCTCTGAGGATGGCTGCCATAAATGTGGATGAAATGACAGAAGAGAATGCTTCTGGAACATGACTATACAGCCCAGAAAACTCACAGCAACCAAGTAGCATAATTGCTACAGCATCATTAGATTTTCAATACATGTACATTGTACATTTCTATTCTGTTCCTGAATAACTTGGTAAATTTTAGTGCAGTTGTAAAAGATCCCGAAAATATTTATTTTTGACACTATTTAAAAACAAGTTTTTTTCCAGGACATTTTTTCTAAGCTCAATTTTCTAATAACCAAATGCAGCCTTAAACAAGCTTATCCAGAAGGACATCTCTGGCTAGTATATATAGGACTGCAGCCTAAGATGGTGTACATGTTATGGTCTTCTCAACATATTATTGGTACCAAGCAACTCTATTCACAATTGATAAAATTATGGCACAAATACAATTTTTGTGACTCTTCAGGTGTTGTGAGACTGGGTGACTATAGCTATGAAAGCTATAGATGTTATAATGGATGGTAATGGATGTTGAGGGTTGCAATTGCATAACTTTTGGAGGATGGCATGATTCATACAGTGGGTGTACTCTGGAAAATGCATCAGTCCTGCCAGTTTACAAAGAGCTTTCAGTGCTTTCTTTCTTCAACTCAAGGGTTGTATGCTACAAGATACAGAAGGTAACCAGGCGGCAAATTGGGAATCTGTATATTTTATGCTGTGATACGTTTAATTTGCTATCTTGGTACTTTTAAATATAGTGTTCCCTTGCTGCTTCGTGGTTCACTTTTCGCGGACTCGCTGTTTTGCGGGTTTTTGCCTCCTAGCAATGATGGAGTGTGGAAGGGAGTTTAACCCCTCCTCAGGAGAGAGGCAGCCAATCATAAAAAGAGAGACGAGATACAAAGCAGTATGTAAATCACAGCCTTATAGCTGGCAAAAGAAAAAGGTGTGCGGAGCCTTTTAATTCCTCCTCGCTCTCCCTTACCCTCAGAATGCAATATATATTGATATAGCATCCCTGCTTTGCGGATTTTCACTTTTCGCGGGTGGTCCTGGAATGTAACACCTACAATAAGTGAGGGAACACTGTACCTTTTTGTGCATATATCTATGTGCATGCATGTATATTGTTGCTAACTGCCAATGTCTACTTCAATTGAGGATGACCCTATAATCATTCCGCTGTCAACAGCCCTGTTTAGGTCCTCAAATGCAGGGCTGTGGTTTTCTTGACTGATTCTATCCATTTGGAATGTTTTCTATCATCTTCCTCTTTCCATGATATGTCAAAACTATGATAGTCTCAGTTTAGTTATTTTGGTTCCTTGAGAGAGTTCAGGCTTGATTTGCTCTAAGAAAAAAATAATTATCTTCTGGGCAGGGTATCAACTGAAAGCTCTTCCATACCACATTTCAAATGTATTGATTTTACAACCATATTTAAAAATTAGAAATACAATGGCATGGACAATGCTGACCTTTGTATGCAACAACATACAGTGATTGTGTGAATATGTATGTTTCTCTCTCTATGCACACACACATATATGGGGCAGCATAACCACTTTCCTATGTTGATTATGAATTCTTGCATCTGCCCAAAGACAGGATACATAGAATTCACTGCAGAATGTCACTGCTCTTAGAAAACAATCATCAGTAAATTCAGATATTTATGTTAACTTACTTGCATCCCTGCTTTATTCTGATCTAGTTCTTCTTTTAGAGTACCTTTTCATATGTATCTCGATGATGAGAATTTTCTTTACAATTGTTATTTGATGTCAAGGTGGCCTTAATGTATGGAGGCCCTAATAATGAGAGACCTGCAAGAGTCTTAGGGCCCTTCCAGACAGGCCCTATATCCTAGGATCTGATCCCAGTTTTTCAGCTTTAAACTGGATTATATGAGTCTGCACTGCCAGATGACCTAGGATAAACAGAAAACCTGGGATCAGATCCTGGCATATAGGGCCTGTCTGGAAGGGCACTCAGTCATCAACTGTCCTGCTCAGGTATTGGAAAATCAAGGTCACGACTTCTTTGAATCCACCTGTAATGCAGTCATCTTCTTTTTCTCCATCTTCTTTTCTTTGAAAAATGAAAAACAATGAGATAGATTTGAACTTTCAAAAATGGGTAGTTGCAGAAAAAAAAAGGCAAATTGTAGTGGGCCAGGGGCTGATGAAAGTGGAAAGTTAAATTATCATGAGAAAAAAAATGTCACGAGTATAGTACTTGATGCTGTTCAGGTTCAGGAAAGTAATTCAGGGCTTTCTGGGCTTCTTTGATTTTTGCATAATATTCTCTTTTAAACAGTATACTTTAAGTTACTAAATTCAGGAATAATTATAATAATTAAGTCACAAGTAGTAGATCAGAAGCACAATTTGGCTCCATATTATCTTGATTACCAGAATGTGATAATTATCTTTGGTTTCATATTTGTATTACCATTATATCGACTCTTGATTAATACCTCTTTAACAAATTGGCCAGGCAGACCCTTGATGGCATTCAAACGGAAGCCGAATCCTTTGGAATCCTTTATCAACTTGCAGAGCCTGGGTTTATGATTGACTTCCTCAGCAAATGTTGGCTCTTCTACCTCCCGTGGAGATGGCTCATGTGGCATTTGTTGGTAGAGGCATGGAGATGTCTTGGCCTTAAAAAACCAAGAACAGAGAAGAATGCCACTGTGAAAGGAAACTTAATGATAAAATATCTTACTCATGCAGTAGGACAGGAGATCAGGGAATCTCCAGGCTATGTGGATTTTCTAGCAGCAAGCCTATTGGCTTCTCACAGTCATCATCAACTATCAAGAATTGTTTGAAGCTATAGACAAAGTGGTTGCTGTTGCCTGTTTCTGGTCAAAGATATTTAGCTGCTTGTGCTCCTTCTATTTTTATCAATTTTATACTAATTTATGCAATACTTTTGATATGAAATAAACAAATAAAATATTTATCTGCACGCTTGTCTTTTTCTCAAGGTTGATATACAAGATGGCTTACAAATTACTACAATTACAACCATGCAAGAAGTCAACATTAAAACAGAATTAAACATTTAACAATATTAGAGCAATTTGTATAGTTAAAAAGGATAAAAAAGTTTAAAACAGTGCAGTACCTTCTTTCTTCAATCCTTTCATTAAAAACCTTGTTGTTCGAAAGACAACAACAACAACACTGACCTCCCTGGGAAGAGTATTCCAGCGCGTATGGGAAGAAAGAAGACCCTTCCTTATCTCACCATAAACACAGGCCCAGTAATTAGCTCAGTAGTATGGAAGTATATTCTCCTGTGCATGAACTTCATCCCTTCAGTAGCTGGGAAGCAAACCAGAGGTCTTTTGCTAGACAATTTCACTACTGTGGAATGATTGCATCCTCTTTTCCCTTGTTGCTTGGCATTTTTCTGCCACTCACCTAGGCAGATCATGTCTATATGTGTAGGGGGGGATAATGAGCACGTTCTACCTCTCATCTCCATGTACTCTGTTCACTGGGAAACAGGTAAACAGCATGCACGGAGGGGATTGTGTAGGCAGCTGGGAGGGTGTAAACATGAGATGTGCCTACATAAATGCACAAATGGATTTACGGTGTGCATCAGTGGAGCACATTTCTGTGAAAGAAGTGAAGAGAAGGGTACAGAGGCAGGATGAATGGGATGTTCTGTTCACTTTTGGTTTTTGCTCCAGCCCATCAACAACGCTATTCTGAAAACACGGAACACTATTTCCAAGTGACTCCTTTGTTGGAAATAGCAATCTTCTCATGTTTTCACTAGTTATTTGTTATGTATAATTCAGATTTCTTACTGTATTCTATGTGTGTGTTTGTTTACCATTTTTACCTTTCCTCGTTATTGTGGGAGGGGCTGCAGACCATGTGATCAGAACTAGGCATGTTCAGACTCAGATTCCATTTTAGTTTGTAGAAGCCATTAGTGTCTTAGAGAGAATAGGAGCCATCTGTATGCTTTCAGAAGTCAGTGTGTGTGTTTGCATCAGAAGCAGTAAGTACACTTTAGACTTCAATACAGGAACTGTATGCTTAGAGATCAAAACAGAGAGATGCTTTGGACTATGGACTATTAATTCTAAGAAAGATGCCCTGTCTTACCTACACAGGGAAACTACTTCAAATACTATTGTAACAAGCAATGTGCCTGTATGCTGTATACATGAAGTTTGTAAATAAACCAACTCAGTTAGTTTTAAAGAAGACTGTTTATTTTGTCTCTTGAGAGTATGACTTAAAGACAAATATGTTTTAAGGGAGAGTAGATTTTTTGGGGCAACTAAAAGGAACACTTCTGGAACCGCTGAATATGTGTTTTTGTGCATCGGCATGTCTTTGTCCCTCACAGTTCAAAGACATACCTAGGTACATCAATTTAACAACTGAGAGACCTAGTTGCCTTGCATGAATGCTGGTGAACATCATTTTTCAAAAGGTTGTGACTTCTAACAATGTCATGCCTTTCCTGTAACCAGTGTTTTTTCCAAAAAGGTTATGAATCCCATTTCCCAAATAGTTATGGAGATTCACATTTTCCAAAATCCTTGTACTCAAGCTTACCATTTTGTATATGGCATCTGTCTCTTCATCCACTATTAGCAGTATTGTTTTTTCACCAGACTGTCTGATTTTCTCCACCACAGCATGATGGTCCAATGCTTCAACTGGCTCTCCATTTACAGCTACCAAGATGTCATTGTCCTTAAGACCTACTTTATCCGCAGGGCTGCCAGGGTCAATGTCTTTAATTAAGTGACCTGTCCTCAAAAATAAGAAATACCTCACACTTAATAACACATGTCTAGCTGTCGCTTTTTATCTGAAACTATAACCAATCCCTTTATAGAGTTCGACTTGCAGAATAGACCTGTTAAAAAAACATTGTCAGCTTCCAAATGGGAGTTGAAAGATAAACAGAAAAATGGATCTGTGTCCAGGTTAGAATTTTGTCTGTAATGGATTTTCTTGTGTCCTTGGGTAAATCATTTTTTGTAAAAATGTTAGATATCTAGACTATATTGTGGAGCAAGGATCCATCAAATCCTGTTTCTATGAAACTCCGAAAGATGTCTATAAGAAATCCACAAGGAGAGCATGAGACATCAATCCTGCCTTTCTCCCTATTATGTGGTATTTATAACATGGAGTGTCTATTTAGCCAATAGCCATTCACAGGTTTAACTTGAAGGCTATCCAGGAAACATTTAGCACCATATAATGCTAGATTGAGAGCCACTGAATGTGGTATAGTGGTTTGAGTGTTGGATTATGACTCTGGAGACAGGATTTGAATCACTGCTCAGTCATTAAAATCTAGTGGGTGACTCTGGGCAAGTCATACTCTCTCAGCCTCAGAAGGGGACAGAGGCAAACCCACTATGCACAAAACCCCATGCTGTCAAGTCAACAAAACCCCGTGCTGTCAAGTCAACAAAACCGCATGCTTAATTCACTTTAGGATTATCATAAATTGGAAATGACCTGAAGGCACACAACATCAACAGATTTACCACAAAGCTAAGAATCTTATGCTTGGGTTGCTGTGAGTTTTCCGGGCTATATGGCCATGTTCCAGAAGTATTCTCACTTTCTGTTGCCGTGTGTGCATATGGTTCTGATAAGAGGAACTTATGTTCAACGTGAGTTCCTGGAAGTGAGGGCATCAGCCAAACAGCTGTATCATTACTATTATTTTAAGGAGACTACAAAAGCTATGATTTCTGAGACAGCTTTATGGAATTTATTTAACATCCTTCTCCCTAATAATCTGAACACTACTGTTGGGCTTCAAAACATATAATAGATCCCACAAATCACCAGGCAAAAGAAACAATGCTTGTTTTAGAAATTCAAGCCAGTCTATGTCCTTGTTCATACCTTTTCCATTTTGTTCCATTCTCAAGTAAAATCCATAACCATTATTGCCTTTCTCAAGTGTAATAAGTCGTGGTTTGTTGGGTAATAATTTCAGACTAGCCATTCCTCTTGTCAGGTGCATGTTCTGTCTGTTGTAATACTGGTCAGTTTCTTTATTAGATAGCAGAAACACAACTTGGTCTCCAGATCTTCTTATCTAGGAATACAGACATATCTATACAGTAATGGTATTTCTGCCACCATTTCACATAGAGGAATAAAGATAAAGAAATTTTATATACAAAGTCCTAAAGTGCATATATAAAATAATATCCTGGTTATGTACATGTAACATTGTGTTCTCTAGCTTATGTATATGAAACAAAAGAATTTTGTGTTAAGATGTGGGTACTATCTCCAAGATCTCATCATGTGTATGTATTATTTAATTCAGAATCCAGAAAAAAATCCAAAATACCTCTAATTTCAAGCATTTGGGATTAGAGATACACAATATTTACTACTACCTAATAATATCAGACTGTCCGATGCTCTTTTATATTAGAACTGGAGATAATTCAAGAGCTTATTGTCACAATCAGAGTCAGGGATATTAATTGTGTTGCTCTCCATAGATTTCTGAACTGTAACTTTCAGTATTTCTGGGGCAGTTATAAATCTGCATCTGGTAGATTACATTGGTACCCCTCAGTGCAAGTGTAATCTTGAGGTTATATATATATATATATATATATATATATATATATATATATATATATGAGAAAGACAGTAGGGGTAATGGTTTGAAAATTTGACTATGGACCTCTTCACACAGCCCCTGGGGCCTTGCCAGAGTTGGTGCTCTGTCCCTGTTCCCAACACATGGGGAAAAGGGTGGCAAAAGATGGAGGAAAGGGCAAAAAATGCAGGTGGCTCCATCAGAGCTATCTAAAACACACTTACCTCTCCGTCATGACAGAGGAACCATCTTGTGATGCTTCCCCTCCACTTCGGGAGGAATGGTGCAAGGTCAAGCCAGCGTCATCTGACGTCACTTGGCAGACCCTGTCCAGAAGAGGAACGAGGGGCCAAAAAACCCCCCCAATGTGACAAGGTGATATGATTTTGAAGACCAGGATTTGAATTCCTTTTTGGTCATGGAAAACAACTGGATGCTCCTGAGCAAGTTACTCTGTCTCAGTCTCAAAGAAAGGTAAACACAGCTCAATGTGATAAGGTGGTATGATTCTGGAGACCAGGATTTGAATTCCCTTTTGGCCATGGAAACCAATTGGATGATCTTGAGCAAGTCACACTCTCTCAGTCTCAAAGGAAGGTCTTCCCCTCTCTAAACAAATCTTGCAAAGAAAATCCCACTATAGAATCATTTGGTATAAATTGGAAACTACTTGAAGGATACAACAAGAATAACATTGATAGATATGTGCCACTCAGCTCTTGTGGGGAGACTTCTTGGCAAAATATTTTAACTCTTAGATTCTAACCCTCACCCATAGTTTTTACATTGCCTTAGATTACCTCGAACAAGCACTGTATTTGAAACTGCTTGTGTTTTCTGCTGCTTGTTTTTGCCTGAGGAGATTTACATGTATATGCAAGTTACCACTTAGGAAATGGTCTATGTGTATTTTTTTAATGTTTAGTTGCGGAACAAACACAAAGATTTAAATTGAAAGCTCAGAGAACAGGGAGGAAGCTGAGAGGTGCAGGTTGATAAGGTACCTTCTCAACAACTTCATCATGAGTGTCATTTTCCACATTTTCTCCATTGACTTCAATCAGGCGGTCATCTGGCTGCACTCCAGCTTTTGCAGCCGATCCTTGGGGGACCACATCTATAATGAACAATCCTTTCTGACCTGTAACAGAAGAAAGATTAGGCAAAACAGAAATAACTTTTCACTTGTCAGCTATGTCCCATGCTGCTCAGAAAGGGTGCAGTAATTACTATGAGAACTCACCATTCAAATAATGGCCTTCAGTTAATTGTCTGGGAAAGTGTACTTTAAGAGAAAATGTGTCTTTAATATGCGTTTTAAATGGTGAACATACCGAAGAATGGAAAAGATACTACTTTGGACTGAACTGATTTCTTCCCAGAATCCCCCAACCAGCATGGCTAGTTGTTTTTTGACTGAGATGGTAACACTTATTAGATACAAATCTTGTCTGTATAGATTGTTCTTACCTGTGATGGTCTTCAAAGAGAAGCCATAGCTATTTTGTTCTTTCACTAGATAGCAGAATCGAGGTTGTAGAAATGGAGCCGGTACTCCATTTGTTACAAGTGAAGGATGGTCGATCTGCTGCTGGAGTTGTGCATTTTGACCTAGCTCTTCAAAGCAGACTCCATCCTTGTGTCCATTTTCATAAGATTCTTCATCCAAAACAAGCAACACTACAACATCTGCACTTGTCCTAACTAAATCAGCCACCTGCAATGGATGGAAGGAGGAATAAAATAGACATTACAAGAAGTTGTACTTCATCTGACATCAAGATGACCACAACATGGGCATCAGGCAAGCATTTCTGGGTGCTTCATTCCAAGATTAGAGTTCCACCATTGAAAACCTGTCCTTGATAGCTATCCACCTCACCACACCTGACAAATGGCACAGGAGGAGGGCCTTCTAAGGATTATGGTCCAGGTAATTATATATGGGAGATGATTCTTCGGGTCACCTGGTTTAGGGTTTTAAAAGTCAACACTAGTGCCCCCAAACACCTCAAAAACCAGTGCATTTTATGATCATATCAAAAAGTTCTGTTAACAATCTCACTCCCATTTTTCCAACCTATGACATCTCTGGCCCATCCCCTGTTTGAATATCAGCCAGCAAGCCAACACCTTACATGAAGAAACAATTTTCTAAGATCTACAGAGATACTCACAGAAAAACCTCAGCAAGTGAGAGTCCAAATGTGACAGGCTAAAACTCGGAACCTCAACCCATGGCTGATACTGAATGAGAGACTTCCTCCTGGGCACACAGAAGACTGGGTGACCTGGAAGGCACTAAACAGACTGCTGTCTGGCACCACAAGATGCAGAACCAACCTTATGAAATGGGGCCACAAAGTGAAATCCATGACATGAGAGTGCCGAGAAGAGCAAACCACATACAACCTATTACAATGCAGTCTGAGCCCCGCCACATGTACAATGGAGGACCTTCTTATAGCAACACCAGAGGCACTCCAAGTGGCCAGGTACTGGTCAAAGTACATTTAGAATAATGCCAAGTTTGTAAAACTTTGTGTTTTTTAAATACATTACAACTGTACCCTCGGTTCACTTCTGATACGATAAATAAATGCATTTTCAACCAGGTGCAATTTCCAGGTGAAATTTCCAGGTGCAATTTCCAAACTGCTTTCAAAGGCAGTTCTACATTTAATGCTTTGCAGTAGTCCCCTGTTCATAATGCAATGCATGACAATCACCCATTTAGCCTCTTTGTTTTCTGCCATATAAGAGTAATTGATATACAGGGTTAGTCAAAATGAATAGGCCAATAAGAAAATTAATTTTAGACGAATGTATGTTTACTGTAACCAAACCACAGCTATGTAGCGACAGATAAACTATCAAAGTTTTTTTTGAGCAACACACATGTACGTTAATGCCGCTAGGCGTCGCTAGGGGTCGCTGTTTTCAAAATGGCGGAATCAAGCAAAGAGAAGGCGTTTTGTGTGATGACATTTGCTAAAACAATGTCAGTAATTACGGTCCAGCGAGAATTTCAAGGGTTAGGGTTAGGGTTAGGGTTAGGGTTAGGGTTAGGGTTAGGGTTGGGTTAGGGTTAGGGTTAGGGTTAGGGTTAGGGTTAGGGTTAGGGTTAGGACCTCAACGAACACCTTCCCAGACGTTGCTGCATTCGATGCCATTACGTCGGATGTGCTGCAACGGATGTGGAATGAACTGGACTATCGCTTGGACATCTGCCGTGTCACACGGGGCGCCCATATCGAACATCTCTGAAGGTGAGACAAAACTTTGATAGTTTATCTGTCGCTACGTAGCTGTAGTTTGGTTACAATAAACATACATTCGTCTAAAATTAATTTTCTTATTGGCCTATTCATTTTGACTAACCCTGTAGAATACTGAAAAAAGTGTTTAGAAAACTCCATGGAGCAATAAGAAATACAGTATTCATTGTGCAGATATCCTATACATTCTCTGATTTAATAATAATAATAATAATAATAATAATAATAATAATAATTTATACTCTGCCACCATCTCTTGGAGGCAGCTCACAAAGCACTCAAAAGTGCAAACATGCAATATACAAAAAGTGCAAAGACAACAACACAAAGCAACAACAACCAACATGAACATCACAAAACAATCTGATTAAGATCAATACAATGCAACAATGGCTGCAGAATACAAAACAAATTGCAATCAATATCAGTCTCATAATTTCCCACAGGATTGTATTCACTACTCAGATTCCATGAGAAAGGTATGATATAGTGAATATAGGATGGTATATATCTACATGAAATATACAATTATTTCCTCTTGCAAGGCACCTGAAGTTATGTAAGGTTTCAGTCCTGTGTATGGGCATTACCTGAGAGTTAAGTATTCAGTTCAGTCAGATCATCTCTATGACTTGGAGATCACTGTGCTGTTAAAATCTATCTATTAAGACCATCATTGTTGGCCCCAGTAACTGAGAAATGATCTCTACTTATCTTTAGGATGGACGTTTAATGCTTAATTTAAAAGAGCTCTTGGTAACTTTGAACTTTGTGATAAGGAAGGGCTGGGTAACTACTGGAGGATTTTATTGCTTCTTTCCATGGCTGAGATGGTGCTTATTATTATTTCATTTCAGTTTTGAGCCTTCCAAATGTGTCGTACTACATTTCCTACCACCAGAGGCATGTTTGATGGGAATCATGGGGACTATAGTCCAACACATCTGGAGTAAAATGATGAAAGAGGTTGTGGGAGGCTCAAATGGCACACCTTGAGTGCGGGGAAAAAAGAGAAAAAAAACGCTTTGAAATAAATAAACATGCACAAAATAGGCTCAAATAGCCAGATCCACTTATTTGCCAGATGTAGTTGGTAGTTGTAAGGATTGTCCTTTGTCAGTGTCATACCTTTCCATGGTCTTCCTTGTCCACAAATACCCCATTGATCCTCAGAACTCTGTCGCCATCTCTCAGGCCAGCCTTCTCAGCAGGGCTGTCTTTTTCCACATTCCGGATAAGGTGCCCAATTTTATACTTCTCAATGCGTAAGCAGAACCCATAGTTTTCTCCTTCTTTTCTGGTAAGTTTGCATTCTCTGGGCTGAACAGTCATACTTTCTGTCAGAAGAAACCAGGGGGTGGGGTGGGGGGAGAGGGACACATACTGGTATCACATTATGTTCATATTCAGGGAATATACTCAAGTAAAATGAAAGAACCTGGTGCTCTTATAAAAGGACATAGAATCACGGATACCTTGGCTGGAATGGTGACATATGGCTTTCAGTATTGGCCTTGGGAACCCACTGCATGTCACTCTCATTCTTAACACAAGGCAAAGCCACCCTTCCCCTCTAAAAAAATCTTGCTGAGAAACCCATGTCACAATAGGAAATATCTTGAAGGCGCAGAACAAAAACAAATAACATTAACTGTGTCTCTCTATCAGTTGCTTAAGAATCCATGATGGATAGTGTAATTCACTTATGTCCTCCTTCCCATAGGCAATTGATCATGATGTGAAATTAATGTTGCACTGAACAAGCCTTAGGATGGTGTAGTGATTTGAGTGCTGGACTAGGATTTCAAGAGACCAGGGTTTGAATTTGCACTCAGCAGTCGAAAGTTATTGGGTGACTTTGGGCAAATCAGATGCAGAGGAAGGCAATGACAAACCTCTTCTGAAAAACATCTTGCCAAGATAACATAACTTTATTTTATTTATATCCCACATTTATTTCAGTATGAAGTCACCTTAAAGTAAAGGTTTCCCCTTGACACTAAATCTAGTCATGTCCAACTCTGAGGGGTGGTGCTCATCTCCATTTCTAAGCTGAAGAGCTGGCATTGTCCGTATACACCTCTTAGGTCATGTGGCCAGCATGATTTCATGGAGCACCGTTACCTTCCTGCTGATGTGGTACCTATTGATCTACTCACATTTGCATGTTTTCAAACTTCTAGGTTGGCAGAAGCTGATGCTAACAGCGGGAGCTCACCCCACTCCCTGGATTTGAACTGCTGACCTTTCGATCAGCAAGTTCATCAGCTCAGCAGTTTAATTCACTGTACCATCAGAGTGCCAAAAGTCACATTAGATTAATCATAAGTTAGAAATGACTTGAAGCGCCACAATAAAAAGGCCTTTAGTCTTATGAAATCTAATTCTTCACTCATGATACTGGGGGAAACAGAAAGGAAGGTAGGAAGAGAGAGAGAAAAAAGAACTTTTAAGACTTGTTGGTTTTTATTTTTTTAACAAAGTTTTGATGATATAAACTCAGTTCTTCAGATACAGCACTGACTGTACTGAAAACAGAGACAACACTTAGTGCTTGTGAAAAAAAGTCATTGCCCAATACCGAAAAAGTCACTACAAAAGGTTTTGTCAACAAAATCCTATATCTGTGTTTTTAAACTAGGTCTCTGCTTAATAGAATTTAGTTCTCTCAGTACAATAGGAAACCTTCAACACAGTTACATTGTGTAAAGTCTTCATCCAGGTAAGAGGACAAAAGGATTCAGGGCATGTTGGTGTCATTCTCAAAGACTAGTCAACCTTATGTACTGGATTGTGAAGCACTATTCAGTGAACTGAGAGGATTTTATCAGGAAAACCTTGCAGTATAATGTAGTTACAAAACCGCTGTAGGAGTTAGCTTTGTTTTTCTGAGTTTATCTTCTGAATCCTTTCAGAATAGAGGCGAACATACTGATTAACTAGAATGAATTCCTTTTTCCGAGCCGTTTTGAAGGATGTGTATGACGATTATCTATTTAGGTGAAGGACTTTAGTAAAGGTTCTTTGCAACTACAATGTGAGGATTAAACATTAATAATCACACACAGAGAAAAAATGTAACTATTAATCATTCGCTCTCTAGTGCCCATATAAACTTAAACTAGGAATAGGCTTCTTGTTTGGTGCAAATATATGTGAGCTCTATGTTATTAACCACAACAATTAAATCCTCAGCCAAGGAGCAAATTGTGTCTACAATGAATGGCTTGAAAACAGTAGGTGGTTCTTAGGTTGTTGATGGGAAGATCATGGCAGCTTGGCAACTTTTCCATGTTCTTATACAAATGAATGAAGGTCTCCAATCCTAGAGTTTTGCTTAACATTTATGAATGGAGTTTTGTCGTTTCCTTGGTACAACTTACAAAATTCCCTAGCTGATGGTCAAATTGATTGGGAAATCTAGAATTTTATAGTGTTTATAAAAGAAAAAAGCAACTTTTCAAAATTCTTGTAATAACAGTAGAGTCTCGCTTATACAACATAAGCGGGCCGGCAGAATGTTGGATAAGTGAAAATGTTGGATAATAAGGAGGGATCAAGGAAAAGCCTATTAAACATCCAATTATGTTATGATTTTACAAATTAAGCACCAAAACATCATCTTTTACAACAAATCAACAGAAAAAGAAGTTCAAGGCACAGTAACGTTATGAAGTAATTACTGTATTTACGAATTTAGCACCAAACCATCGTAATGTACTGAAACAGCTGTGGATTCGGGCAGGACGCAGACTGCGCTGGATAAATCAGAACGTTGGATGAGCAAAGTTTGGATAAGTGAGATTCTACTGTTTCCAATTGCTGCAATGCTAGATGTGTTACAATTGTTTTTGACTTCTGTATTTCTTCTCACATTGTTGTGCCAATTCGCCCCCTTCTGATCTACAGATTTTCTTTGAAAACTTATGAATAGTTTCATGGAGTAGATATGATGACAGTCTAGTGCCCTTTTCAACAAAAGGGTGCTAAAATGATAAAGGAGTAGGGAGAGCATTCTGCTGGCATTTGTTCTGCTAAATGTTTACAGGTGTATGTGCTGAGTTATTAAAATCTGCATGTTTGTGTCCCCCATTTATCATTAATCAATCAATAAATCAAAATATCTATTGTATTGTTGAAGACTTCTGTAGCCAGAATCACTGGGTTGCTGTGAGTCTTTCGGGCTGCATGGCCATGTTCCAGTAGCAAGAAGGGGAATCACACTCATCTTAGTATTCTGGTTCTTGGTTTTTGTTGTGTATTGTTTGAGTGAGTTTTAATGCTGCTGTTTTATACCCTTATGTTTTATTTAATTGTGTTTTATTTGATTGTTATGTTTTGCTATGCTTTATTTTAATTGTGGTTTTTTGTTTTAAAGGATTGTTTTTGTTTTGATGTTTTGTCAACATTTTGTCCCATGTGTAAGCTGCCCTGAGTCCCTTTGGGGAGATGGAGGCAGGGTATAAACATAAAGTTATTTATTATTATTATTATTATTATTATTATTATTATTATTATTGGAATATGGCCATACAGCCCAAAAACTCACAGTAACCCAAAATATCTATTTATCACATTAGATCGTAAGATCTGTGGTTGGCACATAATCAAGTCAAACAGTTTAAAGCAATGCAAAATGTGATGAACAATCTGGATTCTCATTCTTGCCTAACCATCCAGGCTAAAAGATGTCAACAACTCTCTACTTTCAAGAAGAGCTCCATGGGTTCTTAATTAAACTGTGGTTTTGATTATTCATAGCTATCATGTACTTTGCTCATTCTTCCTTTGCTAGTGGATGCTGTAGTTAATATGTAAAGAAGCAATGGTTAATACATGGAATATCCATCCTAGATATGGGGAGCGAAGTATGTGGCATTCAGGTCCCCTCTGCCTATTCTTCTTCTAAACACAGCTTAAAGGTAAATTGGGCTTCTAATACTCTAGCAATGCTAGAGATAAAATTGTTCATATTCCTTTACAAAAGCTCCATCTACCATAGCCACCACCTCTAACTATAACTAATAGGCATGCATTGTTTGATATCTGATGACCTTCCACATACAGCTGGATTGCAAGTCCCATCATACCTCAGTAGTAGGTTTACTGACTAAGGCAATTTTATAACATTTTTGATCCATACATTTCCACTCCTTCAACACTTTCGGCACACTATGCGGAATATGTGTTGACATAGGAGCAGGATCAACATCACTGATATTATTAGCATTATCATTATAATAAATCTGGGGCTCAAGGTTCAGTATAACTTTTGAAAAATTCAATAGTCAATCAAGAATCTTTTCAAGCATCATAAACAAGTTCTTTCACAGGTTTTACCAAATATGCAGTTTTACAAGTGCCATATAGACACCTATCAACATCATTTCAGTAATCCACATATAACAGAATTCGGAATAGGCTCTTGATTTTATAAATTAATCCCTATGGTCCATAGTGAAGTAGTATTGAAAGAAATGAGCATGCTTAGTTCTGTTTGGAAGATTGTAGGCAGGCTTTTATGAAGAAGGAGATAAAATAAAATGTCAGTCTACAGAAGAATCAGGTGGCCTTCTCTGACTTTAGGTTATGTTAAACAAAACTACAAATCTCATGATTCCAGAGCATTGAGGCATGGCAGTCAAGTGATGTCAAACTACATTAATTCTCCAGCGTAAATGCACCCTAGGTATCAAGGAGTTCCTGAAAAATGAAAAACAACAGACTAAATCTAATTTAAAATGCGGAAGATTTGAAAAAGAGGAGTTCAAAAATGTTCTTACTTGCCTGTGTAGAAGTTGGATCCTTAGAACGTTCTGTACTATCTCATTCTGCCGCATCAGTAAGGATGGCCACACTCTGAATGGGCAAAGGTTGATTTAAAAGATGATTTATTTAACTGGGTTTCATTACTTATGTTGGACTGCTTGATAACCAATCTTTTCCCCACCCTCATTCTTCCCAGCTGAGCACCGAGTTTCCTTTAGTAACTCTAGATTCTGCCCTTGTGGCTCACTGATCATTGCAGTTGCCATGATTTTGCCCCTGCAGCACAGCCAAGACACATCTGATCTTTGATACAGCTGACTTTTCTTTTCGTTCATACAAAGAGGTTCAACTATGGATTTGTAAACATATAGACATTTGTCATGTACCCAATACATCCAAAGCCCATAGATTGTTATGATATGAACCATGATTATGGAATGAGTGGACTAGATATTGTTGGATAGCAAGTTCCATCATCTCTCAAAACTGGCCGAACTGGCAAGGACTGATGAAAGCTGCAATCTGGAAGCATTTAGATGAGCACACTTTCCCCATTTTCGTAGACAAACACCATCTGTTGAAACAAAGGCCATAAGCTTCTTCGCCAAAAATATTTTTTACACTCAAATGCAAGATTATCCTTCCAAAGGACATATTACTTTTCTTCCTTCTTCTTACCATACCCATGTGTTTGAAAAATACCCCAAATGGTAGAAATACAAGCTAGAAATCATACCTCACTAACCAAAGCAATGCATTGTAATAATCTTTAGTTAGCCATCTGATAGTATTTTGAAAGGCTGAATACAAAAAGAAGGTATTCCATACCTGGCACGCTTACAGCCTTCCTATGTTCAGAAACATAAAGCTCACATTTACCTTACAGACTACATCACAGCTTGCTAAATCCACTCCCACTCTCAGCCCTTTTCGAGCAAAGCTACTGACCTAATTCCCATGAAGCACCTGTAAACATTTCGGGCTTATCCACCACAGATTTAAAGTAGCTTAATGATAATTTCCTTTCCCCAGGGGAGCATGGGAATTATAGTTCTTGTGAGGTGAGTGAAGAATCTTTAATTACAGATATAGCAACGGTTAAACTCAAGCACGGGTCCCAACATACAGATGACTCTACACCTTCTTCCCATAACAAGGCATTTGATTATTATTTTTAACTGGCAGTTTCATTTATTCATTGAAATTGTCTCTGCGTGGAAGCTTTCCTGATGACAGTCAGACTGAAGTGGAAATGATCAAGGAATGAAATACAGAGTTGCAAAGACATTTATACATATTATATGTTGTTGATATTATTGGTGTTGCATGCTTTCAAGTCCTTTCTGATTTATTTTTTTTATAACCTTAAGGCTTTTCTGGTGCTGATAGTGTGTGACTCACCCAAGGTCATCCAGTGGGTTTCCATGGTCAAGTGGTGAATCAAATCCTGGTCTCCAGAGTCACAGTTCAGTGTTCAAATCACTACATCACACTGGTTCTTCCCATATACCCTCCAACAATTCTTAGATGAAAACCGAGACATAGGTGAACAAAACAAAACAAAAAACCAAACAAACATCTGAATATGACAAGATGATAACAGTTATTAATGAGAAAGAACACAAAATCCAGGATAGAGTGAAGCTTTTGTCTGATGGGGAGGGCTATACTCCTCTTCTATTCCCTTCTCCCAATGTGCTGTGTTAATTGACGGCAAACTACCTGTTCATGCTGGATGGGGTTACATTCCCAATGAAATCTCAGGTTTACAGCTTGAGTCCTCTCTGGAGTTGGATCTGAGCTGAGCTGTTCAGGTTCAGAAGTGGCAAGGAATTTATTTGTAGCTAAAACCAGTAAACCAGTTGTGCTTGTTTATGGAGATGTCAGACCTGTTCATGGTAACAGAAACTGGAGAGCATCCAAAATGCTACAGCCAGGCTCCTGATTTGACTGATGGACAAGGGATAGAGCCTTCTCGGCGGATACTCCCCACTTCTGGAAATATTTCCAGAGGAGGCTTGGTAGACCTCTTCCTCCTCTCTTTCCTGCAGCAAAGACTTGGGCTGGAATTCACTGATGCAGTTATGGATGCACAACCTAGAAGTATGTATTTATTACATTTACTTAGGCGATCCCTCATAGTCCGAGGATGATGGTCTTCCAAGGTCGGTGTTCAGTGGTGGGTCCATAGGTGACTGTGGAGCCCTATTCTTGATCTACATCTTTTCCCACAGTGAGGGCAATGGTTTCCAGGTGGAAGGCGGTCCTGGTCGGGGTTGGCTTGATGTGCCTTCCTCTTGGCACATTTCTCTCTTTCGTCCTCCATTCGTGCCTCTTCAAATTCTGCAGCACTGCTGGTCACAGCTGACCTCCAACTGGAGCATTCAAGGGCCAGGGATTCCCAGCATTTATTACAAGAACATTAATGATTCCTATGTGTTGCATAGTTTAGAGGATATCTAGAATTCACAGAAATCCCCTATCTCCACTTATAGAGCACTGCAAGTGACAGGGGCCTATCTCCCTGTTAATTTGCATCTCCCTCTCATGCAAGTGATCTGTGACATGAGGTGTATATTTGTATATATATTTACAACACCAGTCACCTGCTATAAAGGAATTTAAAGGGTCAACCTCTGGCAGGGTGGTCAAGCGATCCCACCGCTGCCACCAATATAATAAAATTACTAGGGTCAAACCTAGGTGCAGGGTGGTCAAACGATTTTATCTCACCACTACCTCCAAGATAAAGGTGTCACAGGAATATCTGAGGCAGGGTAGGCAGACAAATAACACACCTCTGCCACCAATATGGTAAAACCAAAGGCTGACCCTATGTTGCATATGCGATTGACAGATTGATCTTAATAGTAGTAGCCGCCACCACCTCAGAAATATTGGCCTGAGGAACCAAAAAGGTGTGAATGTATTATAGGTAAAATAGGCTTGCTTGAGGTTTGGAATCTTTTATGGCTTCCTCTACTGGATGACTGGATTTTAAGATTAAGCTGAGAGAATGATTTCTAAGAGAGGCGAATGGATTGAGACATACTCCAGTTAACAATAGAACAAGAAAGAGTTTATTTTGAACTTAATATGAACAGCAACTCGATGAAATGAGTGGTACAGAATCTTGATGCAATTATAGAACCTTGGTTGCTTAAATCAAACAGTTCTCTCTGACAGAATAGCTTTCACAGCTCTGAGTCTCTTTAACCAACTGTTCTATTATTAGACACAGTTTTACTTGGAGCACAGACCCCCGTCTGCCTCCCTCGATTGGCTATAAGGTATCTTTGAAACCTCTCTTAGGCTCAATAAGACACAGCTCTCTTTTACTAGTCTTTCTAACCTAGTAAAGCTCTAGCCTAATGTCTTCCCCTTATTCCTTAAACCTAGAGATTCACTAAAAGCTCTTTTCCTCCTGTCAGTTCCCTGCAGTAACTTCCTCTCTCCAAAAATCCAACTTTCTCTGTCTAACTCTTAAACTCTTCCCCCCCTTCTGTCAAAACTGGCAGCTTATTTTCCCTCTCTAACCTGACTCCTCCCCTGATTGTTACACCCAATCAGGAGTCAGCCTGACTCCTCCTCCTGCTCAGCTTGAATACCAAGATGCCAGACACTGCTATGCAGGCTTCGGCCTAGCCGACTAAAAGGTAGATCTATCACATACCTCCCTACCTTAAGTTCTTTCTGTAAGACTCAGATTTTTAATCTAAGGCTGTAAGAAAGGGTTTCTCATGAAGAGAGCTCTTTCTTAACTAGCTCCTTTTTCTTACACCTAACTAACCCACTAACCTAACTTAAACTAACTAAGGCAAGGGCATTCTACCTATCTTCCTAACCTGCATGCTATCTAACCTATCTAAACATCCTATCTAACATGTTCACAATCCTAACTAACATTATATTGCATGCTAAACAACAATTGTACACAATACAATACTATGCATGTTATCTAAGCAATCCTGCAATGTAAATAATACAGTCAATACAATATACAAACCTGTAAGGAAAAAGCATGTTAGATATAATACATTATACAATACATCCTATAAATACAATTACCTTATATACCATACTCTATCATGTAATTAACTATATCATTACCTGTATGATTATTCTACCATACTCAATAATGCATTATATAACATGTATGTACAGTCAAGGTATTGCTCTAACCTGCAATAAGAAAAAATGTTTTAAAATATTTTATTATTTATTTATTTCTTGCATTTATTGACCGCCACTCTCAGCCCTAGGGGCGACTCGTGGCGGTGAACAGCAACATAGAAAGACAGCATACACAAAGATCAACAATACAACAAACTACTACTACGACATATACTTATACTAAAAATCCGCTTCGTCTAATCCTGGGGTCATAGTCAAGTTCGTAGTCATAGTCCATTCCAACGTCGTTCCACAGATACACTTAGTTGAAGGCCTGATCGCAGAGCCAAGTTTTCAGGCTCCTTCGAAAGGCCATCAAAGAGGGCGCCTGTCTAACTTCAGTAGGGAGGGTGTTCCACAGCCGGGGGGCCACCACCGAGAAGGCCCTCTCTCTCGTCCCCGCCAGACGTGCCTGCGAGGCAGGCGGGACCGAGAGAAGAGCCTCCCCGGATGATCTCAAAGCCCTCGTGGGCTCGTAGGCCGAGATGCGGTCTGCAAGGTATTTTGGGCCGGAACCGTTTAGGGCTTTGTAGGCTAACACCAGCACCTTAAATTGGGCCCGGTAGCAAATCGGCAGCCAGTGGAGCTGGGACAGCAGGGGCGTTGTATGCTCCCTACGTCCCGCTCCGGTTAACAACATGGCTGCCGCGCGCTGGACTAGCTGAAGCTTCCGGGCCGTCTTCAAGGGCAGCCCCACGTAGAGAGCGTTGCAGTAGTAGAGGCGGGATGTGACCAAAGCGTGTACCACCGTGGCCAAGTCAGACTTCCCAAGATACGGGCGCAGCTGGCGCACAAGCTTTAACTGTGCGAAAGCTCCCCTGGTCACCGCCGAAACCTGGGGTTCCAGGCTCAGCGATGAATCCAGGGTCACACCCAAGCTGCGAACCTGCGCCTTCAAGGGGAGTGACCCCGTCCAGCACAGGCTGTAACCCTATACCCTGCTCGGCCTTACGACTGACCAGGAGTACCTCTGTCTTGTCTGGATTTAATTTCAATTTGTTCGCCCTCATCCAGACCATTACAGCGGCCAAGCACCGGTTCAGGACCTGAACAGCCTCCTTAGTAGAGATGGAAAGGAGTGACAGAGTTGGACGTCATCTGCGTTCACGGATGACACCGCACCCCGAAACTCCGGATGATCTCACCCAGCGGCTTCATGTAGATGTTAACAGCAGGGGGGACAAGATGGAACCCTGAGGAACGCCACAGGTCAACGGCCGTGGCGCTGAACAGGAGTCCCCCATAACACCTTCTGGGTACGACCCTCCAGAAATGATCGGAGCCACTGCAGCGCAGTGCCCCCGAGACCCATCTCTGCAAGGCGCCCCAGAAGGATACCGTGGTCGACGGTATCGAAGGCCGCTGAGAGGTCCAGGAGCACCAACAGGGACACACTCCCCCTGTCTAGCTCCCGGCGCAGATCATCCACTAAGGCGACCAAGACCGTCTCAGTACCATGTCCCGGTCTGAAACCAGACTGTGCCGGATCCAGAATATCCGTGTCTCTCAAGAATACCTGGAGTTGTGAGGCCACCACGCTTTCCATGACTTTGCCCAAGAAGGGAAGATTGGAAACAGGCCGAAAGTTGTCCAAATTAGTGGGGTCCAGTGATGGTTTCTTCAACAGCGGCTTTATAATAGCCTGTTTTAGGCTCGCTGGAATCTTGCCTTCCCGAAGGGAGGCATTAACCACCACCGTTACCCACTCGGCCAATCCCCCTCTGGCCTCCTTCAGAAGCCAGGATGGGCAGGGGTCTAGGATGGACGTGGTGGGTCTCATTCCTCCAAGTATCTTGTCCACATCCTCGGGTTTCACAAACTGAAAAGAATCCAACAAAATCGGACAAGCAGGTGCTTGTGTCACATCCACAGAGACTGCATTTAAATGGTGTCCAGCTCAGAACGGATCAAAGCGACTTTGTTTGCAAAGAACCGAGCAAATGCTTCACAGCGCGTGACCGAATTGTCAGGGCTCCCGCCTGAAGTGGCGGGAGTTAAAAGACCTCTGACAATCCGAAACAACTCCGCCGGACGGTTTTTTTGCAGACGCAATAGTGGCCGCAAAGAAAGTTTTCTTTGCGGCTTTTATTGCCGCGGCATATGCCCTTAAAAAGGACACAAACCGTGTTCGGTTTGGCTCGCTTGGATCCGAGCGCCACACGCTCTCTAGACCCCTCTTCTTTCGCTTCATCGCTGCCAGCTCCTCAGTAAACCAAGGGGCTGGTTTAGCTCGGTTACTTGAGAGGGGACGTTCCGGAGCGATCATGTCAATTGCCCTAGTCATCTCCCCATTCCAGAGAGCGACCAAGGCCTCGACATGAGCACCTACCAAAGTGGCGGGAAACTCCCCAAGAGCCGTCAGGAATCCATTCGGATCCATTAGCCTCCTGGGGCGGACCATCTTAATGGGTCCTCCACCCCTGCGGAGGTTAGGGGGCGCAGTGAGTCTAAATCTAATCAGGAAGTGGTCGGTCCACGGCAACGGAGAGATGACCAACTCCTCCACACCGCCACCCTGCTCCCATCCCTGGCAGAAAACCAAGTCCAATGTATGTCCAGCACAGTGGGTGGGGCCAGTTATTCGTTGCAAATAATCATTTGTTTTACCTATACAACCAAGAAACTTTTAAATAACTAGGGTGTAACTTTTAAAAGTTACTCTGGGGTTTACTTTTGGTTAACTGGATTACATCAAATTTGAATTGGGAACAACCCGGCATGGCAAAATATAAAGGGGCTGAACTCGGTGTATGACTCGCTGGCCTCCTCGAGGGACGACCTCCCTCCTCTCCAGATGACCACGAGACCGCTCCGCCTCGCTCTCGCTCTCCAGCCGTTGCTTCTTTTCAAAAACTGAGGCGATCTCCGACCTCTCCGGGCTGTTGACCATCGCCTTTCTTCTCCTCTCTCCCTCCTGCATCATCTTCTTT